AAATGGGAAAGTTGCTTCAGCTACCATTGTCTGGACTAACAGTGGGTGCACAGCTCTGACCTTATATTTCTTTTTTTTAAAAATATATTTTATTGATTTTTTACAGAGAGGAAGGAGAGGGATAGAGAGTTAGAAACATCGATCAGCTGCCTCCTGCACACCCCCTACTGGGGATGTGCCAGCAACCAAGGTACATGCCCTTGACCGGAATCGAACCTGGGACCCTTGAGTCCGCAGGCTGACACTCTATCCACTGAGCCAAACCAGTTAGGGCAGACCTTATATTTCAATATTTCTTGAGATTCAAATCCAAATTATTATTTTAAGGCATATTCTTTTTTTTTATTGCTTAAAGTATTACAAAGGGTATTACATATGTGTCCTTTTTTTCCCCCTGCCCTTGACAATCCCCTGGCTTCCCCTACCCTCCAGTGTCTTATGTCCCTTGGTTATGCTTATATGCATGCATACAAGTCTTAAGGCGTATTCTTTAGCAAATTTTTGTAACAGAGACAAATTTACTGAATTTCTTTTTGGCCTTGAAGTTAACTTTGGAACAGACTTCATTAACATTTCAAAAATTACTCTTTATTATGGAAAAATACCAAGCTTGTTGCTAGAACCAGCCTGCATTTCTTTTTCCCTGGGTCAAATTCGCCATTTTTCTTAGGAAATAATCAGTCTTGGGTTTTATTTTGTACCATCACAAAGACAGATTTAAGCCTAGCTTAAGACTTTATTAAAATCCAAAATCGGCCTGAGAGCACATTTTGTCCCAAGGTAGTTTCTCTCTTTATGAGCCCAGAAGTCCCAGACGCATCTCTAAATTTTGTAAAACTTTTCAATTACAAGAAGGAGACTGTAAATTAGAATACTTGAAGAGGGGGCATCCATATTGGATCGCCACATGCTCCCTTCTTCCCATCCTGCCTGCTTTTCATAAGTTATTTGAGCATTCAGCCCGAGGTATGCGTGGGCTTGCTCCTGGCATTTCTATGATAGGAAAAGCAAGCCTTTCTTCTACTGCCATGTCCTTCAATCCTTCTCTGATGGCTTTTTGCACAGGTGATTCTATTAACAGCGAATTAAACATTTCAGGATTAGGACATGGAGGTGAAGGGAGCCATGAAGGCCATTCCTCCCATTTTTTCTTTTCTTTCTGCTCCGAGTGGAGGGTGCAAGGGAAGGAGATTTATCCTCCTTGGCCTCTCTTAAAGGCTCTAGCAAATGAAATACCGTGTTCCACAAAGGAAAACAGTTTGGAGGCAAGTTTTTTCCCTGCTGCTGACCTTTTTTTTTTTCAAGTTCTGACTAACTTTTTGGCAAACATTCAAGATCTAATGTACCTTCTTCAAGAAAACAAGGGTTTTGTTCTATAACATCAAGCAAAAATTATACGAGATTACCTTCTGAAACTTTAACTTCTTAAGCATGCAAATCAAAAGTCTACAATAAAGTTTCTTACTTTTTAAGCCGAATCCTGCCCCATTAGCCTGGCTAAAGAAAACGTTCCCACACTACTTACAGATCTCGACTTATGCAGCTGATCGTGGGCTTTTGTGTGCGGTGAAATATCTCCCCACCTACACGGTGAATTCTTTCCCACCTATACAGTGAATCCTTTCCCACGTTTCTAGGCGAAGTCTTCTCTTCCAGATTTCCCATTGGGCGCCAGATGTTGTAAATGTTTGTTCCCCCCACGTCCCGTGTGGTTCAGGGTTCAGGATCTGGAAGAGGAGCCACACACAAATGAAAGAGAAGAGACAAGAGATAATTTGGAAATACTGGGGGACCAGGCGGGCAAGTCCAACTCAAGGGGAAGGACTTCCACTGGTGCTCAGGCCTCGCCAATCTTTTATTGGTTTGGGTTACACCCATAGCCCTTAGGCAGGCAATTTCCAGTAATAGGCAGACTAGCCCATCAGCAAGGATTTACATAATAATAAATAGGGAAGTTGCTTCAGCTACCATTGTCTGGACTAACAGTGGGTGCACAGCTCTGACCTTTGCAAGGGCTTCAAGGGTCACCAGCCTTCCGGGTTCCTTGTCCACACCTCTCTGATAGTGAAGACAATAGGCAGCTTCCCACACCAGGGTTTTTATATAAGTAGATATGTCATTCTTTATTTCTGACTGGTCTTTTTCATAGTCACTATATCTTTTCTTATGCTGTTGAACCTCTTTGCCATCATTATTCTGAACTCTATATCAGATAAATTTTTAATCTCCATTTCTTGTAGCTCTTCTGTTGGAGAATTCTCTTGTTCTTTCATTGAGGGGCTATTTTTTTTGCCTCCTCATTTTGGTTCCTTGTTTGGGTTTGTGTCTATGTATTTGGTAGATCTGCTAGGACTCCCAATCTGTAGTGCAGGACAATGTAAGATGTTATTTCTGACTGGTCTTGAGCCCCCATTTTGGAGCTACCAGCAATCCACAGCTTGTGGCTCCCTGTGCTAGGGCTGGGTGCCTTTAGAAATGACCAAGTTGTGCACCAGGCTCTGCTTTTCCTAGCCCTGGGCCCAGAAGGAGATCAGGCATAGACTCAAAGCCTCCAGAGATCTACCTCTGCCTGTAGTCTGATTGTTACTTTCAGTCTTAATTTGCTTAAAGCTATAGACCACAGGGTAGGGAGAGAGGTGTTTGCACAGGGTGGAGTAACTGTCTTCCCTCTAAGCAAAAACTGCCTGGATAGCAAAGACCCACGGAGAAAGACCCACAGTGTGAAGGAATGACTCAGTGCAGGAAACCAGGGTGGCTCCCCTCTGAGCTCTAACCCCAGAGCCCCCAACCGTGGACTCTCCTCCCACAGTTCCAGTTCACCCTGCCCTCCCTCTGCCAGAGCCCAATGTGTGTGACTGCACAGGAAATTTTGTTTGTTGGCCCTTTAAGAGTGTGCCGGCATTTCCAGCCCTCTCTCTCTCTGACAAATAGCAACCCTGCTTGTCACAGCCAGATGTTCTGTGAGCTCTGTTATTGGTCTTGGTTTTCTGGGCTGAGGAGCTCAGCTTGGGGCTTATACCCCAGAGTTCTCAGTGGGGGACACCCCCCCCCCCACAGCTGAGCTATCCCTCCTGACCCGTGGCTCTTTGGCCCCTTGAGTGTGGCTCTTCCTAAGCCTTAGGAGTACCCTAATTAAGTTAATAACAATGTACCTACCTATATAATTTAAGTTTAAAAAATTTGGCTCTCAAAAAAATTTCAATCGTTGTGCTGTTGATATTTGGCTCTGTTGACTAATGAGTTTGCCGACCACTGCCGGGAGCCTGGTCAGTTATCTCATGCCTCACACTTCCTGCCAATCTCTTTGTGGTCTCTACTTTCCGTCCTTGGTTATAACGGTTTTCTCCAGCTAGTTTTTTCAGGGTGTTTTAGTTGTATTTCCAGTTTATTCCTGGGAGAGTGTCAGTGTATCTTTCACTTACTCCGATGCCATTTTTAATCCCCCTGGAGGTACATTTTGAAGGAAAAAGAAAGTGGGCTTTAAAGCTAGTTATTCCTAAAAGTTGTCAAAAGGTTTGTAAGAGTTATAGAAAGGTTTGTGAAGGGAAACTAAGACAGGGAGGTTAAAACAAGGCCAAACAATGTAGGCAATTTACAGCCATTATCTTTCCCAATCAAAGACATCAGAGCAAATAGTTTAAAAATCGTCCTAACAAAAAAACACTGAAAGGGAGGGTGAAAGGAGAAATGAAAAAAGGATAGTTTCACTCCCTAGCAGAGAAGTCAGCAGTCTCAAGACTTGGCAAGATAAAGTTGCCAGGTGCTCTTCATGATTTGTGGAAAAGCCACAATAAAACAAAAGGGGACCTTAAGAATCAATCTGGCCGGGCCAGCATGGCTCAGTGGGTGAGCGTTGACCTATGAACTGGGAGGTCACGGTTCGATTCCCGGTCGTGGCACATGCCTGGGTTGTGAGCTTGATCACCAGTGTGGGGCATGCAGGAGGCAGACAATCAATGATTCTCTCTCATCACTGATGTTTCTCTCTCTCTCTCTCTCTCTCTCTCTCTCTCTCTCTCTCTCTCTCCCTCTCTAAAATCAATAAAAATATATATTAAAAAGAAGAATTAATCTGTACTAAAATAGCCAGCAGAGGAATTTTAGGTCGTATGGACAGGAGGGTATATAACATCACAGAGCCCACTCAGCCTACTCTTCATATTAGCTGAGTGCCTGTCTGTACTTCATAAGCTGGATGTATAGGTTTATTTGCTTTACTTTTAAAAGAAAGGTACATACTTTAATAAATTGGCTTTTCAAAATACAGTCAAGGTCTCTCATATAAATTCATTTATATGAGAAGACAAGGATCGATATTGGGAACAGCCCTCTCCCACTGACTCAGGGGGCTGTCTGATAACACCTCTCTGGTATCGGTGAGAATTGCCTATAACAGCGGTCGCCAACCTTTAGGACCTCACGGACTACCAGTGGTCCGCGGATCGCCAGTTGGCAACCGCTGGCCTATAACATTTAGCAGTCTGCAGCCATCTAGAAAATCCTACCCTCCCTAAACCAAGGACTTAAGAGTAAATGATTTGCATTATTCCTCCCCAGCCAGAGGGTAAATAGCGAAAATCATCCTACTCAGGGAGACTGATAGCAGAAATCCAATTAGTGTCATTTACTGACCACACCCAAAGACAATCGAAGGTAAGCCCCTGAATAATACATTTAATTAGATAAATGAATCTAAAGTAAGCTAATATGGGATTTGTTTAATCCTTTTCCAGTGTATTAAAAAGAAAAAAGTCAAGAGCAGCTAGGCCGGGGATAGGGTGGGGGCAGGGGAAGGGCTCTGTTGGAGGCCCTGGCGTGTGCCCATGTGGGGTTCGGGCCTGCGATGGCAAAGATGAATTTTACTAAAAGGAAAAAGGAAGAATGGGCAGGAGAGAGGAAAGAGTTCCTTCAGGAGCCTGGTATCAGAGCTGGGTCTGGAACTCAGCCTACAGCCAGCCGGGAGTCAGCGACATCCGACACAGGCTGTAGGAAGCCAGATGATGGTGGAGACCAAGGATCTGGCGTAGCTGCGGCAGCTCAACCTGGAGCTTCTGAGGCAGCTGTGGGTTGGGTAGGATGCCGTGCGGCGGTCGGTGGCCAAGGCAGCCTCAGAGACGCCTTAAGTGGCCTGGAGAACCTCCTCTCCACGGGATGCCAACCAAGGTGACTCCTGCGACATGTCCTCTCCTGGCGGGGCCAGCTAGGGGTGATCTCTCTCCCACCTGTCAAGGAACCCCTGAGCCCACTGAAGCCCTGCGTGGCACCGTTGCTGGCCACCTCAGAGCGATCAGCAGAGCTGGAGGCACAGGCCCCAAGGTCCATCCAGGCTCAACAAAGAAAGCTGCCCAAGCGAAGAGTGACCTTCAACAAAGAGTCTCCAGTGCCTGAGAGGAGCTGGCACCTCAGACCCTACCTGGGCTATGACTGGATTGCAGGGTCTCTGGACAACAGCTCGCCCATCAGCAGCAAGCCCGAGGCCTTCTTCTGGAAGCTGCAGGAGTTCCGGGAAACCAACAAGGAGTGTATTCACAGTGAGCCCGAACCCCAGTTCCCAGGCCGGCTGGAGAGTGACAGTGCCCAGGAAGACCACGAATGTGTGCACTGTTACCGTGTCAACCGGCGTCTGTTCCTGGTGCCTTCAGACCCTGGTAACCCCTGCCGCCTGTGCAGGACACCCCGGGACCAGCGGGGCCCCAACACACTGGCAGACCCAGCGCAAGTCTGGGTGAGCATCCCACAGTCCATCCTGGACCCACCCCACCGCTACCGCATCCACAGGCGGAAGAGCTTCGAGGCCTCCGACACAGTGGCCCTGCCCCGGCACTGTCTGCTGGGCTGGGACATTCTCCCTCCAAAATCCAAGAAAAGCTCTGGTCGCCAGAACCTGGACCTCTGGTCCTGTGTCACCTCCGAGGCCCAGCACCAGAAGCTGTTGGCCAGCTCTTCCCACATGCCCCAGCCAGTGCGGTCCCATCCCCCACCCCTATCTGGTCAGAACCCCAGGCGACCCAGCCCTGCCTGGGCACCCTGGTTGAAGACCTGAGGGCTGGCCACTTGGATGGCAATGCTCCTGCCATCACCTCTAGCCTCTTCCCTCTGGCAGGGGTGCCCATGAGAGGGGAGCCTTGCCCGGCCTCAGCTAGAGGTGGACTCAGGCCCCACCCTCCTAGGTGGGGCTGGTGGGTAGGCCCAGGCCTGTCTCCTTCCTGGGCTCAGAAGGGATGACGGGTGGGAGGTAAGGACACTCAGTCTGGTGTGTTTGGAAATAAAGCTCAGTGCTTTCTGCACCTCCAGAAAAAAAGAAAAGGAAAAAGTCTTTTATATATGCTCTCTTAGTCAAATAAGCTTGACAACCTTCCCAGGTTTTGAATTTTAAGAAACTTTTCTTGATATAGAATTGGTTTTCAGTCATTCTAATAGGCCCAGTTTGCCCTACAGAAACATTACAACCACTGGGGTCACTCTCTGCATCAGACCAGTGTTTGTTCCTCTCGCACTGAGGGAAGTTTACACAGGCAGTGCAGAAGATCTCCTCAGTAAGTGTGATAATCCGGCAGACACATATGGTCACGCATATGTGCGCACAAGCAGTAGGGGGTTAAATCCGATAGGATCACCCTGGGAAGCACCAGTAGCAGGCAATCTTCACCTTGCCCTACACAGGAGACATCTTATGAGGGCCCAAACAAGATGGCACCGGTTGCTTTTTTGTTCGTTTTGCCTTTTCAGATGGGGCACTCCTCATCTACCACCTAGATCAGCACCCCTCTAGATTGTATACTGAGGAGCTGGGATTCATTTGATCCACAAACCCTGAAGAGAAAGCGCATGATCTTTTGTACTCAAGCTTTGCCTCAATATAAGCTTGCAGATGCAGAGACATGTCCCCCAGAGGGATGTATGCACTATAATACAATCTTGCCATTAGATCTTTTCTGTATGAGGGAAGGGAAGTGGTCTGAGGTCCCATATGTTCAGGCTTTCTTTGCCTTAAAGACAATCAGAAATTGTGTCAGCAGTACAAAATCAATCCCTGGTTCCAGGCAGCATTGACGCAAAGGGGTACCAGAGAGTCAGAAATCCCTAACGAGTTGACAGGGCTTAGTGACCCACCAGATGCACCTGAGCTATTTTTTTAAAAAATATATATTTTATTGATTTTTCACAGAGAGGAAGGGAGAGAGTTAGAGAGTTAGAAACATGGATGAGAGAGGAACATCGATCAGCTGCCTCCTGCACACCTCCTATTGGGGATGTGCCGGCAACCAAGGTACATGCCCTTGGCCGGAATCGAACCTGGGACCCTTCGATCCGCAGGCCGATGCTCTATCCACTGAGCCAAACCGGTTAGGGCTGCACCTGAGCTATTGTGTCCCCCTTATCCAGGACCCCCGGAAGGACCAGTCCCACCCAGACCCAAGGGGACTTGACCACCCAGGTCCCCGGCTATCCTTTGCCCTCTCCAGGCAGTGTCAGGGGGAGAGTTCGGATCCACCTGGGTGGATCTTACAGGACCTAAGACAAACTAAGATAGATTTAGGAAAGTTTTTCAGATGACCCTGACAAGTGCATAGCTTTTTTCAGGGACTGACACAAACCTTTGATTTATCAATGAATGTTGTAATGCTTCTTTTGAGTCAGACACTTTTGGGATCAGAGAAGTGGTCAGTCCTAGTAGATACACCTCAGCAGTCTGGGGATGAATACATCTTAACAAATGCCAGTGGGGTCTCCCATGATCAGATTGATCACTACCCTACTGTCCAACAGAAAGCTGTGCCCCAGAAAGACCTTAAATGGCTTGATGATGAGCTAGCAGATTAGAATAGAAAACATTTCCAGGTTTGTGAGATTCAAGACTTAATGAGGTGCCACTCCAAGCCCTTGAATGACTCTAAATTGTCAACTATAGACCAAGGGAAAGATGATAATCCCTTGGTCTTCATGGACAGACGCAAGGAGGCTCTGACAAAATACACCTCTATGCACCCAGACTCTTTTAAGAGCCAACTTATTATTTCCTTTTTATTGAATTTATTGGTGTGACACTGGTTAACACAGGTTTCAAGTGCACAGTTCCACAATACATCATCTGTATACTGTATTGTTTGTTCACCACCCCAAGTCAAGTTTCTGTCCATCACCATTTATCCCCCATATGCCCTCCTCCACCTACCCCACAGCCCCCTCCCTTGGCAGTCACCCCACTGTTGTCTGCATCCATGAGTTTTCTCTCTTTTTTTTCCTCAGTCTTTCCACTTCCCCACCCAGCCACCGGACTCTCTTAAATGCTGTCAGCCTGCTGTCTGTGAGTCTATCTCTATTTTGCTTGTTACTTCAGTTTGTTCATTAGAGACCACATATGAGTAAGAATCATATGGTATTTGTCTTTCTCAACTGGCTCATTTCACTTAGCATAATGGAAAGACAACTTATTAAAAGACAAATTTTTTACTCAGGCGGCACACACATTAGGAGGAAATTACAAAAATTGGCAATTGGCCCTGAGAGTACCTTAGACAACCTCCTGACAGTAGCCATTTCAGTCTTTGACTGAGGAGGGCGGGGAGCCAGGAGGGACCAGGTGGCGCAGGAGGCTGCTACGCGTGATCCCAGAGCCATAGATTGAGCAGCCCTCCACAGCCTGTGGCGTTCTCAGTGCTCAATTTATAATCTTCAGAGCTGCTTCTGGACCAAGAGGAGTCTGAGGAGAGGAAGGCCAAGGGAAGGGAGAAAGCCACAGCCTTGGTTGTGGCACTCCAAGATGCTAATGTCATTAGTCAGAGTCTCAGGGGATATGGGTCTCCCAAAGTTACTTGCTAAAACTGTGGCCAGCAGGGGCATGTCCAGAGGGACTGCTCATGGGGAAACAGAAAGCCACCCCCTATAAGCCCCTATCTGCAAGGGGAACCACTGGAAGTCAGACTGTCCAAAGGGGCGCAGGCCTCCACGGGCCGATCCGGCAATTTAGATGGTCCAGTAGCAGGACTGACGGGTCCCGGGGCCTTCCAAACTGGCTCCAACATGGACTGTCATCTCCACCAGGAGCCCCGGGTAAGCCTGACTGTTGAGGGCAAGAAAATTAATTTCCTCCTTGACATTAGAGCCACCTTCTCACATGCCTTCCTGATTATATCAGAAAGTCCAACTCCCCTATTGGGGTGAGACATCTCGGCTCATTTTGGTACCACCATATACATGGCACAAGAACAAGTACTCTACCTACCATTAGTAGAAACTAAAATGGATCCCAAAGCGTAGGCTACCCAAGGTAAAGTTAGCAGAGTGGTTAGGGCCACCTCCACTCAGATACATCTCAGGGATTCAGCTTCCTTCCCACATCAGAAACAGTATCCCTCAAACCAGAGGCAAGGATGGGATTACTATAATAGACAATTTGAAGGCCTAAGGCCTGGTAAAACCTTGTAACAGCCCATGTAACACTCCTATTCTGGTTTTCAGAAGCCCAATGGGGAATACAGGCTTGTCCAAGACCACTGATTAATTAATAAGGCAGCTATCCCTATACATCCTGTGGTTCCTAATCCTGATAGTTTATTGTCCCAAATTCTAGGAGATACTAAATGGTTTACTGTATTAGATTTCAAGGTTGCCTTCTTTTTGTATTTGGAGATCCCTCAAATCAGTCCACCCAACTGACCTGGACTGTTGTACCCCAGGGCTTTAGAGATAGTTCCCACTTCTTTGGTCAAGCCTTACCTCAGGATTTATACCAGTATGACCACCCACAGACCAAAGTATACAGAGGTCACTAGATTCATGGGCTCACATGGAATAGCCCTAGACTACATTCTTGCCAGGCAGGGTGACATATGTACTATTGCCAATACTTCCTACTGTATAGATATCAATAACTTTTGAAATAGATACTAGAACACAGGATATTCTATTCTTAAATAGGCTGTGAAGTTAAGGAAACAAGTATCATGTTCTCTATCTCCTAAAATTTAGGCCCAAATCTGTAGTATATTTCCCTCATTAACCTCATGACTTTTCCTCCTTTTAGGACCGCTGGCCTGCACGTTCCTAGAATTATTGTTTGGCCCTTGTATACTCAATTGTCTAATTCAATTTATACTCTCTCATCTAGAATCCATCAAAGTACAGATAGTCATGGAAATGGAACCCCAAATGACAGCTCCCATCTTCCATGGTCCCTTAGATCATCTGCCTCTGATGGAGCCCCCAAACCCCTTGCATTGTCCCTCTTCAGCTGGAAGAAGCCAGAGCAGTCGTCGCCCCCATTCCCAACAGCAGTTGGGGGTCTCCAAATCAGAGTGGAGAATGAGGAGATAGAAGAACTAGGTAGTCAGGGACGGGACCATGGGGGGAGGAAGTAGAACAAGGAAACTCAGCTGGTAGGAGTTACTAAGGTAGCACAGCTGGGCAGGGAAAGAAGAGCCCTTGGGAGACCTGAGTTTTAAAAATGTATGGGTATTGCTAAGACAGGCAGCTTGCATATAATCAATCACAAGTCAGTGGGCATGTAGCCAATGCCAAGGATGTTACTAAGGCAGAATTATTTGAAAGAACCAATCAGAAGCTAGCAAGCATATATCTACCTCTAGACAAAGAGAAACACTCTCTCTTTCCTCTTCTCTCGCTGGTGTGCGGGTTTCTGGCTCCTATTGCAGGGGATATTCTCCCCTGCGCTCACATGGCTTACAGCCACGTGGCCCTTCACACATGGACTAATGGGCTTTAATTAGCTTGGATGCTGAACGACACCTGGCTGCAACATAGAACGAAAGCTCTGGACATTGGCCTGTTTTTGGAACCCGAACTGCACCTTTTCCAGGACTGGCTACTCTCAATAAACTTTGCTTCAGTTAACCACGTTTGTCCATGAATTCATTCGTCGATTTTGTGAGATAATGAACTCAGACCTGACCACCACATTTTGGTTTCAGCATCATACATATAACATAATCTAAGTAGAAAATGCACCTGTGTTTGAATTAGCTATTTTCAATTTTATTAGAGTCCAGACATTGTAAAATTACATGCGAACATGTGGATTCTTTCCAGGAGAAAAGAAAAAGATTATATGGATGGTCTTTTTTAAACTACTTTTTTTGGGGGTGGGGGGAGAGTAACAGTTTGGCTGAGATATAATATATATTTACAAACCACTTAATATGTACAACTCAGTGGCTTTTACTGTTTTCACAGTCATACAAACACAATAGATTCTAGAGCATTTC